ACTATTTCTGAATATTTATTAAGAAAGAAATGTATATGATTATAAATTTTCTTTTATACGTACAATAGAATTTGTTCAAAGCATGCATAAAATTATTCTTTAATGTGTTATATTGTTAACTATACTGCAATGGAGTCCTGGTGTGGCGCTGTGGGTTAATGCACCAGATTGCACAGCCATTTGAACTGTAAGGTCGGCAGTTCAAGCTCACCAGCTGTTTCTTAGAAACCCAATACAGGGTTGCTAAGGGTCATAACAGACTCGATGTCACATCACAACAACAATAACTTACTGCAAAAGATAATTTGTCTCGCTATTTAAAATTTATAAGTATCAATGAATACAAAATACACATATACCTAAATATAGATAGAAAGAGAGATTACCTGTCCCGTAACGACTGCTCGCGAGAATAACTTATTTAACTGAACAAGTTCATTGGGTGTTGTATCAAATTTCAGAGCTATACTGTTCAAAGAATCTCTTGACTCAACCTGTTTCAAAGAAAAAAAATTAATTATTTTAATCTGTTAAATTAGAAAAGCTAAACTAAGAGATTTGATGGATCATTAATAAATCTACAGACCAATCTTTTATTTCACTAGTAAACACTATTTCCATTTTTGGAGATAAGTATCAAGAAATTTTGTATTTTATTATCAAATGTACTCAACCTATTATGAAACAGACTGCATTCTTTCACACGATATACCACAAATACATGTGGGCATTATTTCAAGCACTTTCAAAAATATAGATATAATTTACAAAGCACACACTCAAAGGGCTTTCATTTTACAAAGCCTTTGAAATATTATTCCATTAAACAGTTCTCAAAATAAACCAGACAAGGATGCCCTTTATCACCACTCTTATTCAATATTGTGCTGGAAGTTTTAGTCAGAGCTATATGGCGTGATAGAAAAATTAAAGGCATCCAAATTGGCAAAGAGGAAGTAAAACTCTCCTTATTTGCACAAGATATAATCCTATACATAAAAAACCCCCAAAGACTCTGTAAAAAAAACTACTAGACCTCATCAAAAGATTCATCCAAGTGGCAGGGTATAAGATTAACATACAAAAATCAGTTGGATTTCTCTATAGCAACAACAATAGCAATTAAAAGGACATTA